GATGGTTACAACTGACCATGATGGATTGTCGTCTCTTTCCCTTGTACCTCTCAAGTATATTTGCCCCAGGGGACAGAATTCCTAGTTATGGCCCAGTTCAAATTTCTGCCTGGGAACAAAAGGGGGGGGGGGGAGTGGACTACACGGCATCCTACAGCACCCTCCAGCTTGACACTGGAGAAAGAGTCCTCAACAGAACATCAGGAGGCTTGGGTCCTTGTCCCCTTTTTTCTACTATTTAGCAGGTGGGAGATTTTGGACGAGTCACTTTTCTCTGGGACTCACTGGTAAAATGTTGGGGGTTTGGACTAGGTGTTAAGTTAAAGTGAACAATATAACCTCTGAGGTCCCTTCTATGGGTGACATTATATTTCCTAATATTTGAAGCAATGGTGGAGTGGAAAGAATTGATTTTCTATTTAGGAAACCTGGACTGGAGCTCTGGCATTCTGGCTTTGACACTTACCAATTTGTGGGACTCTGGGCAGGTGACTTCATTTCTTTCTTCCACTGTAAAATGGATGTTGTAGGCCAGGTCCTATCTAGCTCATGGGATTGTTCTGAGAAAGGTGCTATGGACACCATATAGCACTCAGGAAATGAAGGCCATTCCTACTCCTTCCCACTGTGACTCCATGTTAATTCTGACATTCAGTGTTCAGCCCAGGAAGGAAAACTGTGTAATACAGTGAAAAAAACCTGATCTAGAGGCCGCATCTCAACCTCCTGGGGCTTGCCTTTCACCTGGGCCCAACTCTTGTTGAGACAAGATTTCAAAGGCTTAGAGGAAGGAAGCCTAACCATGAAGGACAAACTACAGGCAGGGCTAGATTTTGATGAGTAGCCTTATAATGGAATCTGCCCATGTGGAGACACAGCATGGGAGGCCACTTAGACTTCACATGCTTTTCCTTGGGAAGGTTGGGCCACCCCTCCCTCAGGACTGGCCTGAGTGGACTCTGTGTCCGAGGCTGTTCACCCTCTAAGAGCCTCCTTGGACTATGTAGGATACTCGCCTCTCACAGAACACCCCCTACAGCACCCACCGGCATGACACTGGGGGAAGGGTCCTCAACAGGGCATCAGGAGGCTTGGGTCCTAGTCCCATTTTTTCCACTACTTAGCAGGTGAGCGACTTTGGATAAGTCACTTTTCTCTGGGCCTCACTGGTAAAATGTAGAGGTTGGAGCCTTATACCGCCAACATCTTATGCTCTGAAGTCCCTTCTAGAATGAAGTCTGTATTCTAGACATAGCTAGGTAGTAAAGTGGCTAGAGTGCTGGACTATGAGTCAGGAAGACTTGAGTTTAAATTATGACTCAGACAGTTTCTAGCTGTCTTACTCTGGGCAAGCTACTTAACTTCTCTTTACCTCAGTTTCCTCTTTTTTTTTTTTTGGTGAGGTAATTGGGGTTAAGGACTTGCCCAGAGTCACACAGCTAGTAAGTGTCATGTGTCTGAGGCCGGATTTGAACTCAGGTTCTCCTGACTCCAGGGCTGGTGCTCTATCCACTGCGCTACCTAGCTGCCCCTTTCCTCATCTTTAAAATTGGGGGGGGGGGATCTACCTCCCAGGGTGGTTGAGGTTAAAATGAGATACTATGTAAATGCTAACTATTATGATTTTAAGATCCCTTGTAGTCAAAAGTGGATGAAAATCCTTAAATCATGAATCTGCCAGGCCCTGCTCAGATCTCTCCCTTCATCTTCACATCATCTACACTGGTAGGAGTAATCATTGACTACTTAGCTAACTCCGTGGTCCCCATTTTCCTGCACCTCAAAGGCCCCAGTAGCTATGAAGTTTTACTACTGGTGATCCTTTCACTGGGCAATGTAATACAGTGAAAAGAATCCTTGAGGCAGGAAATCTGGAATCAAATTCCAGCTCAGAGCTTAGTAACTGGCCATCCTTGAAGAAATTTCTTTCTTTGTTTGAGCCTCAATTTTCTCATCTGTAAAATGGAAATAACACTTGCATTCCCTGCCTCCCAGAGTTGTCAGGTGAAGTGTTTCATAGACTCTGAGGCATTATGGGAATCTGAGCTCCCATTCTACCATAAGCACTGACTTTTCTCAGTTCTTTGGAACACTGCCAGTTGCAACCCCTGGGAGGGAGACGGGGTAGTCCCTCCTTCTACTTTAGTACCAGTGAGTTTATCAGAGTTTACCCTCCTCTTCTGTTCTCTGAAATTCCTGAGGATAGGATTAAAGGGTGAATTTTATAGGAAAGTTCAATGAAAGAAAGAACTTGGGTCTAGAGACTGATTTGTTCATTGGACCTGGTGCCTCCCAGCAGTCAGTTTAAATTCTCAATTTGGGACTAGGATTGGATCCATGACAAGAGACTATCCAAGATTACTTGCTGTGTGATTTTGGGCTAATTACAACTTCTCTGGGTCTCCTTTGTCTTATCTATAAAAATGGGGATAACACCAAGCATTACATTTGTCTTCTTTCTTCCCATACTTTGTAGTTGGGGCCCCAGCACCTGAACGGCTGCTGGGCAGGTAGTTGAATTTTTTTTTTACTGCTTCTTCCTTATTTTGTTTTGGTTTCAGCATGTGCCTTTGATCCAGACATCTGTTCAAAATATCCAGATACCAGAGAATATTGTTTGTGCTGTAGCCTTCAGGGACTTTCATCGGTCCCCTGAAAGGCCATATTAACATATATTTCCAGACTTCCTATTGAGCTAATTTCCCACCCCACCCCTCAGCCTCAAGGGGATTAACGTTAAAGAAGTTGATTCTCTGATGCTGTTCCTTAAGATACTGGCTAATCTTTCAGGGAGGCGGTGTGGGGTAGAAGGTGAGTGCAGTACATCTCTTCCAGTCCTCCAACAGCTAGGAGTCTCAGACTAAACCTAGCCAGATTCTGCTGGGAGTAGCAGAGGGGATTAACTAGATGTATCCAAAGACTGGGCTTACATTGTGTGCTCTTAGATAAGTCACTTTTTTGGGCTTCAGTTTCCTCATCTATTATGGTTGTTGTTTGTCCTTAGTTCTCGAAGAGGACCATGACATCAGGAAGATGATGCCATGAGTTGCCAGTAAATTGCATTTAAGTGAGAGAGGGTTGTGCAAGGGCACCAGCCTTACTTTCTCCTCCAGAGTCATATGGGTCTGGTGGCAAGATACAGATTAGGATGACTGGAGATGGCCCCCTTCCTCATCTATAATATGAGAGGGTTGGACCAGATGATCTCTGAGGTCCTTTTTAACTAGAAATTTTATAGCTGTGGGTCAGGTCAGTGGAATAACCGAGAGCCAATAAACTACCATCCTGAATTTAAGAGGCAGTATTGGTGTCATCAGAACAACCATTCTTGGGGAGTCAGGACAACTAGATCTGAGTCACCTACTCTGCTGTATAACCTTGAGTAAGTCATGTGCCATCTCTTAGTTTCTTCAACTGTAAGCATCATAATTCATAATCATTCAGCTCCGTAAGCTTACAGAGGCCTTCCACAGATAGCTATTGTTATCATGGCCTTTATACAATATCCCTGTGAAGTCAGTAGTACAAATATTATCTCCATTTTACAGGTGAGAAAACTGAGGCCTGAGCCTCAGAGATGAATTGACTTGCTCATGGTCACATGATTAGTGTTAGAGTTGGGATTTGAATCCGTAGCTTTCAATACCACAGCAACTTTCAAAGTTGGGAGGGCTCGGAGGTCTGGAATTCTGTTGTAAACTTCTTTGGTATCCTGCCCAGCACTGTACTGGACTGAGCATATAGCCATCATTCAATAAATACTTATTGATCTGACCTGATATCAAATCACTATTTTACATCCCAGCTAAAATCCAAACATAGCTCCTGCATCATCTCTTCCCTGGTGAGAGAGCAACACATATTCTGAAGCCCTCGAGGAGCAGCTTCCTGAGCCTCTTGCTCATTCAAGGACAGGCTGAAGGCCCTGAAGAGGAGAAATTTGGGAGGTGAGGTGGTGGCACAATTGGTATCTTTCTATAGCTGAAGGACTGCTATGAAGAAGTGGGATTAGTCTTGTTCTATTTGGCCCCTGACGCTGAACTCAGAACCTTCCCTATAGGAAGACTATCTTAACAATTAAAGCTGTCCACAAAGCAATGGATTGCTTCTTGAGGTAGTGAGGTCCACGTACTTGGAGTGTTCAAGTGATGGACAGATGACCCACTTGTCAGTAATGTTGTAGAGGGTTATCCATTGTCTGAGTAGAGAACTAGACATGACCTCAGCATTATCTCCCAGCTCTTGGATCTTTTGTAGTATATTCTGTAACCATCATCAGGGCAGTAACAGACAATCATGGCTATTCTCTTGGTTTGTAATGAAATTTTTCAGTCTTGATCCAACTTCTCCAGTCACTGTCTGCTTGGCTCCCAAGCACACACAGAAGAAACTGGATCAATTGTTTCAATACAGAAGCCTGTGTTAGTTAATTGATTAGCATGTACTTCCTTCACTCTTATAAATCAGGCATGGATGAAGGTGTGAACCTGCTTTGACAAGTTGGGCTCCTTTAAAAAATACAGAATTGGGGGTTTAAACCAATCAGTTGGTATAATGCATCTGCATCAGCACCATGGAGTGTTCGAGTTATAAGGGACCCCGGAATACAGGAAGTCAGTGCTAGAAGGAACTTCAGAATACAGAAAACTATCAATGAAATTCCACAGGCTTTATAACCACTATAACTTTGCCAGTTCTATCTCCTGCAGCTAAAAGGGATCATGGAATACAGTGTTAGCACATAAAAGGTTAGAGCCAGAAGGGCTTGAAGACATGGTGCTCTCCCACCTCCTCATTTTAACTAAGGAGAAAATGAAACCAGAAAGAAGTGGCTTGTCTGAGTTTACAGAGTCACGGCAAAGGCGACACTTGAACCCACCTTCATTACCCCTCAGCTCAGTGATTTTCCCACAGTACCAAGCTGCCTCCCTTTTTTTCAGCCCTCCCAGGCCTGGAACCATGAATATCAAAGAAAGTACTTTCAGACCAGGTAAACAAAAGATGTTCTGCCCGAGAGGATTTTATTGAGCTGTCACAGAAAATTAATTCCCAGGTTTGCAAATTCAATGTAGTAAGTGAAGAAAGGTACATACAGTGCTCGTATGTGGACAATACATTGACTACTATTTCCACCCAATTTCTGTAAGTGTGGTTCACAAGATGAAACAGGAGCCATCTGTCCTTACAATAGTCTCGGCTTCTTCAGTGTGCTGTTCACGTGTGCCCTTCTGACCCAGCCTCAGTCTGAAGGGCTCCCAGTGCTAGACATAAAAGAGGAGAGTAGAAAGATGCCTTTTCAGGATGGGGAGGGGTGTTGTGCGTGCCTGGGCATCACTGATATATCCCCGGGCATGGCATTGATCCTTGGCACATGCCACGAAGGGGAGACTGAAACCATGGAAATCTAAGCATGCACTGCTTTGGGGGTCATTGTGATTGACCTTCTATTCATTCCAGTGTTGGGCTGAGCAGTCCAGTCTGGCCTGGCTTAAGAAACAAATTCAAAGATTCAAGTTCTTCATCCAACTCCAGTTGATGAGGCAACTTCCCCTTCTGAATCACACATGCTTTATGATTGAGGACAAACCTTTGAGAGACTACTTCTAGTCCCTGAATCCAAAAGTGACCATCTGATTTGCCAAAGCAGCAAACATTCCCAGAAATCAAGAATGTCAATGAGGCCCACATGGCTCTCCCTGAGCTGTGGACATCTTCATGATTATGAATAGGATTACTTGGGTGAGGCTCAGAATCCAGGGCACATGGTTGCTACAGCAGCAGGCTTCATGGACGAGCCAGCTCATCCAAAATCAGGAAATGAAAGACCAGGTTGAAATGTGAACAATTTCCTTTGTCCTCAAAGGTTGTTGTTGTTGTTTTTTAAACCCAGACAGCCTGAATAAGTTTCAGTTCAACCATCAAGGCTTGCCCCCATCCAAGACATAATGAATTGGATAAAATAAAGGAGGGAAAATTACAGATTAAAAACATCAAAATGATCATTTTCAACTTAACTCAGGTGTGGGAGAAATGAGCACTGGTTCTGCTCCTGGAGAGAAGAGGCACAGATTTAATGCTCTTCTAAGAGCCAACCCTTGACTTCATCCTATTCTAGCTGTAGGGGAGGGGAGGGGAGGGAGGGATGACTTTCCCCTTCTGTCATCAAGAAGTAGTCAAAGAACATCTAATGCGGGCAGAACGGTTGTCTCCTCCCTCCCCTCCAAGATCCCTTTTCCCCAAAGCTTCTCTCCCTGAAAGCAGGGGTATGTGTGAAAGGAAGACCTCGGGTGGATCCTAATGCCATCCCACATAAAGGAAAGTCAGCAGCATTAACCCATAGGCTATCTTGTGTAGCTAGATGTTTTCATCGGACAAAACTCAATCTGGCTTTTGACTCCCAGTCTTTTTCCACTTAGGTTGAACAGGACCACCTCCCAGGAGAGATAGGCCAGAAATGTCTGGGCCCTGTCTTTGATAATAAAATAAGCTACTATGATATCCAGTTCAGATATGGACATTTAGGACACTTATATATCATATTAACATAGAACTATAAGAGCAAGGGTATAATATAAGGGCTCCTCTTAATGACTCCTTCTGATGTCTTTTTTTAAAATCTTCTAAAAATCAAAGTTGCTGGTGTCCAGAGCTGGCTCTGTGCTATGTTTTCCGGAAATAGGAATTTCAAGGATCAATGATCCCTAGCATGTTGAATGTCAAAAAACAAGCAAAAAAATAATCTAACACTCCCTATGAAAGTGAATGTGGTTGGATGACTGGGTCTCTACTTCTAGGTAGGCTTTGAAGAGTATCTAAGATGAAGATTGTCCAAGAACAATAGAACTTAAATCTTGAGACAAGGAGTTGGGGTGTGGAGAGCAGGGAGAGCCTTTTCTGACGCTCACTTGGGTTTAATTGTCTTGAGTAAGGCCATGGGTAATACTGACATCCTTACCTGTCCACAACTGTTGGGCCCGGGGGGACCTGACCAGATAATGGGCTAAGAGAAAAGAAATTGGCTTTCCTGCCGGTGGGAGTGGTATCAGAAAGGAGAAACTAATTACCAACGAGTCAGTGCAGAAACCCATGGGAAGGATAAGGCCAAAATGCAGGCCAAGTCTCACTTCTGATGGCAGTGGCAAAAACCTTAGGAAGAACTGGGCAAAGTGGGGTTTCATTGAGTCAAAATTCATTTCCATCAGTAGAAACTGCTTGGAAGTCATAGCTAGGGAAGAGGAGACAGGGAGAGGAGGGAGTGGAGGGAATTATTTCTTTACAATAGCCAGTTAATCCTTCATGCTTCAAAACTGTTGGATGTAGACAAACCCCAAACACCTTCCAAAAACACACATCCCTGTCTACCAACCTCAAATTCTTCTTTGGATCTTACTCAAAGGTTTCCCAACGCTTCCGAAGCTGCTCCACTTTTCCTTGAGTGGGCGCAATCTCCTGCTTAGTCTTCTGTAACAAATCCTCAAACGGATCCCTGGTTTCTTTGGGGCCTGAAGACTGTAATACTGGCTCTAGGCTATTGAAAGGCCTAGGGGGAACCACTGGAGGGTCTCCAGGTCTCAGGATCAACCCCTGCTTGGCCTCAGCTGGCCTTGAGCTGGATCGCACTAGGGGCAACGTTCGGATTTTAGAAGGGCCACCCAAGTGGCTGGGTTGGCTTGGGCCACTTTGGGTAGTGCCATGGCCTGGTGGTGGGCAGGAGCTGACATGTGGCCCTGGGGGAACCTGCCCAAACAGATTAGGCATTGAGAGAGCTGAGAGGCTGGGCTGAGGTCTCTGTGGGGTATAAAAGCCGGGGCTGGATGCCATAAAGCTGGGAGTGAAAGCCTGGCCCAGGGAAGCTGGAGAGGGAGCAAAGGGTCCCCCAACACACTGGGTCATAGATACTGGCAGAGCTGTTGGCACATGTTGGGCAAAGGGGTTGAGTGATGGTTGGAGGAATGGGGTGGTGGCTGAAGCTGAAGGGAAGCCCAGCTTGGGCACAAATGGGGTGGATGCAGGGGTGAAGTCACCCACACCACAGGGAAAGCCACTGGTATTGGGAACTACAGAGCCAGGGGGAGCCCTGTCTGGCCAGCTGGTCTTTAGAGGGTCTAGGAGAGTCAACAGGTAATCACTCTCACAGCCTGCAGGGTCTGTGACCACACGGACTGGCTTGAGAATATCAGTGGCACTACTAGGCGTGGGGAGAAGCCTTGGTGGGGGTGGCAGATAACTGAGAGGTGGTCGACTTTCCAGATCCCTCGAGAGGGCTGAATTCCCAAATGCCTCTGGTATCAGTTCAGAGGTGGTGTCAGAGGGCCCAAGGCCTGGGGTCTTCCCAGGCTCAGTGGTGATAAAGGGTTGAAGCTTTGCAGGCCGGGCTGTAGGTGGTGGGGGTACAATGCCCAGCTCTGGTGTCTTCCTTCCCTGAGGTCTGGGGATGGTGATGTTGCCCTGTGTAGGAGTGGGGGTTTCCTCTTTCTCTCCATGGGTCAAGATGCTATCCCGGCTTCGGGGTCTCCGAGGCAGAGACGGGGTACTCCCTAGAGATGCCAGAGGCCTTTCTGGGGAAGGCTGAGAATGTTTGGTAGGAATGGCCATATCATCCTGGCCCATGCTCCACAGCTGGTTGTAAGGATGGGTGAGCTTCAGCCCAGGCATTATTCTGCTTCTTTCGCTTGAGCACAGGTCCATTCTCTGTTCACAAAACATAAGACAGAGGCTTAGAAGCTATTTGGGGTTTCACAACATAGATACAGAGAAAATGCCAATATATTGCAAGCTTCTCTGTCTTATAAAATGAAATTAAATGAGATCATCTCAAAAGTGCTTTCTAGATCCAACATCCAAAGTTCTATATTCTAAAAAATCTATGTTCTAAGGTCCCTCTGAGATCTGACACTCTAAATATTTAATGATGTACCATCCTACCTTCCAGGGCCCATCCAGGCAAGGCATTCTATATTCTAAGATCCCTTACAGCACTATAATTCTATGTTCTAAGATCTCCCTTTGAACTTAAACAGTCTAAGTTCTTGTTCTACAGTTCTATATTCTTGGAACTTTTAATGTTCTAAGGGCCTTCTAGCCTTAATGTTCTAGATTTCCTAATTCCGATGTTTAGTGTTGCCTGTGGAAGGAAAGCTACTTCCATGCAATGTTAATTTCTTTTTGGGTGGTCATTAGTGGAGAGGGGTAGCCAACAGTCCTTTTCCCTCACCCCCAACTTTGGCCATACCTGGTAATCAAATGTGCAAGGCTGGTCGCCCTGATCCTTAGGCGGCCTGAGGTCTTCTAAGCTCTTTGCTTGGCTCAGTGGCTGAGGCAGCTGCTCTACCTCCAAACTGCTGAAAATGTCCTCCAGGAGGCTGATATCTGCAATTCTGTCAGGTGGCGGTGGTGGAGGACCCAGGGCTTCCTTTGCTCGCTTTTCTGGGCTCCCTGTCTCTTCTCCATCTGCACTGTCTGACTCTCTCAGGACTCGGTATGGCAGAGGCCTAAGAAGGGACAAAGTCTGAATTCCAACCAGATACACTCGGAGTCAGGGTATCCTTTCAGGGAAGATTACATTTTTAAACCCTAAGCAAATTAGAGGAAGCGTGGGATAATGGAAAAAGCACTGGACCAGGAGTCAAGAAATTTAGGTTTTAGTCCTCACCCATCCATTAACTTGCTGTGTGAAGTTGGGGAAAGTACTTCTTTTTCCTGAGCCCTTGTTTTACAAAATGGAGCTTAACTTTACTGGTTACTTGCTAAGTAACTTTATCCCTCTCTGGGCGTCAGGTTCCTCATCTATTAAATGAAGATGCATTGCAGCAGGGGTTCTTGGTCTTTTTTGATCCACCTGCTTCAGGCCGGGTGAACAGGACTCTGGGCTGGCCAGGCTGAGTCTCTGCTGCCCAACCCCCTTGGCAGTATGGTGAAGCCTGTGGGCTTTGTGTAGGATATATTTGGATGCATCTGCAGAGATATCGATGGAGAGACTCCCTTTCTGGGGTTCTCTCTGGATGATGCCCTAGCCGAGATCCATTGGGAGAAAATCCAATTTTGTTTTTTTCTATTTTGGACTATATTTGGATGGTCTATTTTCTGATGTGTTTCCTTTTCAAGTCTGACCAGTTTATTTGATCCAATTTATGCTTTGAATGCTTTATATATTGATATATTTTGTATGACAGTGACCATTTTGAATATGAAAATGAATATGAGCAGAATGGATTTTGCATCCCTAAGATATTGGTGTTAATAGTTTACCGGGAGCACACCATGGGAGCTCATATATGTAACTCTTTTTTTTTTTTTTTAAACTTTTGAGCAGACCTAGACTGCTTGCCTTATCATAATGTGAATCCAGACAACTCATTGAGATCCTTATGTACTACAGGTCATAGGATAGGGTTTATCTGATGACCTAGAAATCTTGAGTAATCAACTCCAAATATGTTATCTCTTTTGGGGAGCCCCCAAACCCTTTGGGGATTTTTGGAATATGTTTTCCTTTTTAAGTTAGCTTGTTTGTCCTAGTAAGGGATAACCTCCACTTGGATTTAAGGAATCTGTGGAGAAATTTTGGGTGCTCTCTGGTGTTTCAGAGATATAGATGAATCCCTCTCCCATGCAGCTGTGCCTATGGGTTTCAAGAAGAGGGGCCCCTCCCTGGGAGAGGGAAGGGGTTAGTGCTCTGGCCCCACTTGTGCCAGGAGGTTTATATTGTTACCCAAGCACCAAAATCAAGAAACCAAAATCTGGTTTCTTACTTGAAGGGTAAGGGGGTGACTTCCAGTAGCTTCAGGTCCCTAGTTCCTATGGGGATAACTCTACATGTGCTGAGACTCTGTAGGGACTAGGCTTTCCATCTGAAATGGGAAGCTTGATTTTCTTTCTCCTATTCTTTTCTTTATTGTCTCTGGGTTAGTGAAGGTCTTTGTAAAGACCAAAATAAGTGCTAACCTTTGAGAATTTTATAAAATGATGTCTGCTTGCTAAAATTGTGTAACTGTGATTTTGGAAGTGAGTGTAATAGCCAGGCCCACCAGCTATGGGAGGCCTGTAACCTTGTCGAACAAAGTTAATTCTGGGGATTGTTTGTGAACTATCCCATGTGGCCTTTGCCAAAAAAGCATCCTGGTTGATTTGCAGGTGACAGCAAATATTTAACTGTGGGGACAGCATAAGGGAAGGCGTTTCCTCCCCACCTAGGTTTGGTCACAGAAGACCAAGAATGTAATTACAAGGTATTAATGAGGTGTTAAACTAACTGAAAAGATGCTGTTTATGCCATGATCATTTATGAGGTGAAAACACCTATTCAATTAGGTCAATAAGGGAAGAATGTGATTGGCTGAATAAACAAATTAGTGATGGCTCTGTGGCCTTTAAAGAGCTAAGCTTTGGAAAAATCTCAATAGTTTGGGGGTAGAAGAGATTACAAGCACTGGGAGATGCCTATAAAAGAAGAAAGAGAATTTCTCTTTCCTCCCCCATCAGTCATGTAGCACTGAAGGGTAGCTATTTTACCAGTAGGAAACACTCATCCAGGGTCTGTGTGACTCCTGGCAACAAAGAAGAGAATTGGATTATGAAGAGGAGTAGATGCTGGGAATGAAACTAAGCAACTCACCTAGTAGAGAAGCTGTACCTAGGGAAAGGTATGTTAGGACTCTGCAAAGAGAGGTCTTCCAGGCCATGCAGTATCAGGAGTTGTAAATGGCCTGGGCCACATGTGTGTACCCTATCTCACTACCATCATACTCTAGGTTTGAGCCCACTCTTCTTATGGACTCTGTGTGTAGTTGTGTGAGAGTGTACCCTAGGTTTATGCACGGAATGTTTTGTACCTACTATTCTTATTATGCTAGCTTAGTAAATGTCTTTGTTAAAAGTTAATTGAATCTATTGGCTGATTGTTAATGGAAGGTACACTGTTGAGGGCTTATGAGTGTTAGAAGTGGAACCTGACAAGGTTACCCCCATAGCAGCTATCCTCCGGGGAACCAATCTATGAGTATGAGTTAGAGGGAGTGCCCCACAGGGAATGTTATACCATAAAGTCACACAGTAAAGCTCTCTGGGCCCAAGACCCAAAGTCCAGGAAAGAGGTTAGCGAGTTAATGATTATTGGAGCTAGGATCCAATCAGGATGAATTGCCATAGCATAGAACGGAGAGAAGCTGGACCCAGTCGGCAGAGTTTCCTCACACACAATTTTCCCAAGCATCTTACCAAAACACAGGAAAAACACAAGGGGATTTGCATGCGCCTGGGAGGGGAAACAGTATAATGTGTATCCAATTAACAATAAGACCTGACATGCCTTTCGGAGGTGATTGGCATCTGATTGGCAGCTGGTCTCACTGTGGCATTTAAACAAGGTTTTAGATTAAGGGGGGAAATATTTGTGAAGGGAGAGAAAAGGGAAAGGTATCGTGGCAGGAGCCTACCTTCCCTCCCCCCGAACGCAGCAAATCATACACATTCATGAGCCAAATGTGTCTGAGTTCATCTTTCACAAGCAGAGGAACAATAAACAGATGCAGGCTGGGAGGGGGGCCACACAGCTAATGCTGGTGGCTTGTACTGCACACCCTCATGCTGCCCCCCCAATGGCATTTGGTGGCTAACAAGCAGTCCTAGCTCATTAATGGTTACATGAAGACCCAAGGCTGAGGGAGACTGAGGGCAAGGGTCACACAGGCAGGGAGCTGTGCAGCTGAGCCTTGACTGGGAGGTGGGGGGAGGGTGAAAGGAAAGGGAACAACAAACAGATTGAGGAAGGCAGAGGGGCTGAAGGCTCTGCAGAAGCATGTTTCTATCAGGGCAATATCTTTTTTACTACATGTGTGTATGTGTAGGGGGTACAGTCTCCTTCCCTGACTCATACCCCTTTTCCACATCATATTCCATCAAAGGAATGCCTGTAAGACTCCCCTTTCTTGGACTTGGTTCCCCAACTTATAAAATGAAAGGGTTGGAACAGTTTGACATCAAGGTCATTTCTAGCTCTAACATTCTATGTTCTAACTTTACCATTCAATGTTCTAACATTCATTTGCTCTGAGGTGCTTTTCTAGTATTAACATTCTGTATTCCAATGTTTTATGTTCTAAGGTCCCTCCCAGCACATACATTCTAGGGTTCTGTAAAAGCCTGTCTATGTGGGACCTAAGAGGTTCCCAAACTCTGGGGTTGCTCGTTTGCTCTTGTGAAATTTCTAAACACTTCTAACTTCTTGTCTGCTTTAGTGATAACTTCATCCTTCAAAAGGTGGAAGAGTCAATAAGGGGAAATTCTCTTCCAGGTATGATTCTCATCAACAAGGGAGCAACTAGTTATTGGGGTGGAAATGATGAGACTCTTGGGGGATGGGGAGTGACCACTCCTAGTGTTATAGATGAGAGGATATATCGGGATAGTCTGATATGCCTCTTAGATTTTGGTAAAACAGACTTCAAAGAGTTCAAGGGAAACATAGGTAGGATCCCACGGAATAAAGCACTTCAAGGCAACTCAGCTGTAGGGGGATAGGAGATGCTTAAGAATGAAATTCTGAGGATATACAGGGAAACAATTTCAATGAGGACGAAAAAATGGGATTTTCCTGATATCAATAGGGATTCACTGAGAACTCACTAACCCAACTTAGATTGTAAAAAAGGAATGTGCAGAAGATAAAGCCAAGGCCTGGTAACAGAAAATGACATAAGAGTGTGGCCTGGTCTTGTAACAATGCTGTGAAGAACGCTACTGCTCAGAATGAGAAAAGCAAAGGACAACAAAAAAGTGTTTTCTGTTTTGTTTTAAAGTTCTATTAGGAGAAAAAGGAGGATCAAAGAAGGGATAGGACCTTGGACTGGGATGGATGGGACAACAGAGAATAGGTGGAGCTGCTTGTGGCTTATTTTGCATGTTTCCTCTGACATGGAAATGGCCCCTTGTGCTAGAAATGACAGAACAAGAATGACAGGGAGTTGATACTCAAGACAACTAAGCAGATTATAAGAGAGTCTCTGACTGCCCTCAATGAATGCCATTCATTTTGCCCAGATGAACACCACCTTGAGGTCCTGAAAGAAGTGGCAGATGTGACTGCAGACCTACCACTGTAATATGGGAAAGGTCAGGGAAAACAGGAGAGATGCCACAAGACTGGAGAAGGGCAAATGTCCCAATTTTCACAAGAGGAAAGAGAAGAGTCTGCAAATTACAGGACAGCAAGCTTGACTTCAACTCCTGGGGATTTCAGAACATAAAAGAGATTGTTGGCGAACATCTAGAAAGAAAAGGGAGCAGCCAACCTGGCTTGATCAAGCACAGGTTGGGACATTTGCTTTCTGGACAGGATTACTCTACTACTACATGAGGGGAATACTGTAGATAGAGTTTACCTTGGTTCTAGCAATGCTTTTTAACAAAGTACTCTCTTCTTGTGGAGAACAGAGAGAAATAACAGATTAGACAATAATACAATCAGTTGGATTCTGAACCAGTTGGAGGCAAA